ATATATATACAATATCAACCAGAACAGAGAAATTCTTTACTGAAATGAGGAAGTAGTTAATAATTCTGATATAATCTATTAAATTAAAGATAATTCTATATGTTAATATGTATATTATATACTTCTCAACAGACCTGTTGAGACAACACTGGTTACTCATGCGTATTGTGTGTACTGGTTAACTTACCTGGGTGATGGGTATGAACTCCCCATCCAGACTGCCTTGCAGGACATAGTTTTTGGTAGTGCCAATAAGAACCGTTTCTCCCCGTCCTTCAGCCACAGTCCGAATAGGGCCATATAACTCCGGAACCTGAGAGTAACATACAAAATTGCTGGTAAATTATGGCTACCTGCTTGATCGGTACTAATATTCAAGCATACAAATGCATACTGCATACTGCAAAATTATACTTGTGTAGATGCCTTACCTCCACCGTTTGAATCTTTTGATAATTTTCATCCCAGGAGATGAGTTTCCGGTCCTTCCCACCTGAGACCAGCGTACCATTTCTCAACATGCAAAGTGCAAAGACGCTTGCCTCATGTGCTCCCTGAATGGCCAAGCTAATACGATTAGATCCTGTGAAGCATGACCAGAAAACAAGCACTATATAAACCGACTGTTGCAAAACTGGAAACCATCATCAGTACATCAGACAATCAAAGGTGTTCACAGTCTACATGAAAAGAGTCTTATTGATTTGTGTAAAAAAGGAGCACATTCTCTCTTTTATTAACACTAATAAAGAATCTTTTGTTGGCAGCAGGGTCACCCTTAGATAACACACATATGTTATGCTGTACAGCATTCATAATTGTATTACATGAAGATATTTTACAGTTCAATGGAGGTAGGTTTTTACAAAACATTCAAATACATCAATAAATAACTCAATAATAATAACCCTTTTATTCTTTTACCTTTGCCCCACACAAGTATATTTCCACTCGAGTCTCCAGTGATGGCGTCGCCATTTTCTGAAAAAGTCACACACAATACAAACTTGGGCTTCTCTTGTTTCTGCAAGAAATATAAATATGACTTTATTTTTAAAGCAGAAATGCAATAGATGTATCACACAAAATACAGAGATTACATGTTTTTCATGTAATCTACAACTACACTACCAGTGAAATGTTTAGACACATCTAACTGAACTTAAGTTTCTCGGGATCTTGAGAGCCTTTGGATCTGGAAATTAGTTTTGCAGACAAATATAAATTTATTTTGAAAGAAATGCTAAAGTATAGCAAGGACGCATTAAATTGACTAAACGTAATAAATGACAGTGCAGACATTTATAATGTTACAAATAATTTCTACTTGAAATAAATGTTGTTCTTTTGAACTTTATATTCATCAGATAATCCTGAAAAAATGCATCATGGTTTTCACAGAAATATTATGCAGTGTTCAACATTGATAATAATAAGAAATATTATGACACTGAAGACTAGAGTAATGGCTGCTGAAAATTCAGCTTTTTTCATCACATGAATAAATTACATTTTGAAATTAATATTTTAAATTATTAATATAATAAAAAAATAAAAAATATTTTGAATAAAAAAAACAGCTATTTTAAATTGCAATAATATTTCACAATTTTTCTGCTTTCACTGTATTTTTTTTAATCAAATAAATGCGGCCTTGGTGAGCACAAGAGACTTCTTTCAAAAATCTTACCAACTACAAATGGCAATGGATACATTTCTTTACAAAAGTAACATTCTAGTTCATTTTTAAGTTAATCCCATTATGCACCAGAATGTATTTTTGTTTACTACATCATTTAATTCACATACTTCCGTTTGTGTTATTTCGTAGTTTTGATGACTTCTCTATTATTCTTAAAAGTATAACACAGTAATAATAAAGAATGAGTAGATGTGTCTAAACCTTCCACTGCTAGTGTACATGACGTACATGCACAAGTTTTACCATATCTGAACATGCATCATACTACCTTCTATCAAAAAATGGAATTTGATTCAATAAAAAGTGAAAAGCTTCACTGAATTTGACCACAAAGGCTTATGAGAAATTACCTCAAAAAGACCCTGTTTTTTCACAAGAGATCCCTTTTCTAATGACCAGAAATAAAGGTGTGACTTCCCGCAGGTTACAATTATATTAGCATCTGTCGGGTGGAAATCAGCAGCAAAGATTGACTCATTGGAGCACTGTGAGGGCAGAGAAAGAAAAGGCATAAAGATGCAGGAAAAAAGGAATCAGTTTTTCTTTTTCTCACAAAAGCATACATTGCTATCTGTCGATATCTATCCTGAATAGCACTCGCCTTGACTTCAGCAAGTCTTTCCTCCCTCTGCCAGTCCCACACAGAGAGAATGTGGTCATTGGAGTCGTCCACAACACACAACCAGCTTCCTCCATTCTGAAAGTTTTGAAAGACATTTTTAACAACTTGAGGGCGAGTAAACGATGACAAAATGTTCATTTTTTGGGTGAACTATCCCTTTAAACTGACCAGGTTACAGAAAATACCACCCGGTACTTTTTTATTTCACAATAAAGAAAGGTTTGTTTGATGATTCAAAGAACTAGAAGCTGTATTTTGCAGTTTCACATGAGAATGTTTGTTTGTTAACATAATATAGAGTGACTTGCTCTTACCGACTTTGAGAAGGAGAGGCAAACCAGCGCTCGATCAAAGAAACCAGTTCCAAGGATGTGCAACGTGTTCAAACTCACAGAGTCCCACACTCGCACGTGAGGAGCCAACTGCTGCCAGACACAGACAGACGGACTGAGCATGTTAGACCAGTTAAACTTCTATTTGAAGCATGTGGATTTTGGGATCTTGATCCTCCACATTAGTTATGACAGACCCTTGAGGCACATGCAATAATTAGAAGATTTATTTTGGCTGGATCAAGCCTATTAGCAATAAGCTATTAATGTCTATGATTGATACCGGTTTAAAATATCTGAGTAAGTGATCTTACTTTTCCATCTGAGGATGTGCCAGCCACTTGTCCTGTTGCTATGGTGATTTTATCAGGATGGACAGTGAGGCTGTAGGGGAAGAGAAAAGAGGTGAAAGATGTAGGCAAGCTGGGACTGTTGAAGAGCCGATGACACAGCAGTGAGAGGACATCGCACATTTAGGACTGTGTGAGTCAATGCCGTCACAACACAATGACCTTGAGCGTTATGAGTCACAGGACTGATCATAAACACAGGAAACTGATCCTGAAATTCTTAATCACAGGCTATTGGTTTTTGTTTATGCTTTTCTTGCTCAAGGCCTTTGACTTACAATGAACAGCTTTGACATTTAGCAAATTCCTATACAGATGAAGAAATGTGAGGTTTTAGAACACAGTCATGCATGATCATTTGTGTTGTACCTGTGGGTTTATGTCTTAACTGGAGACTGGAGGTCTCCATTAATGTCCTTTTACTCTGTCTAATGTTCTGCTGACTTGACTTTTTTAAGTTTGGGGCCATTAATATAGACTACTATTCAAAAGTACTATTTGTGGTCGGTTGGATTTTTTTAAAAATGTGTTTGAAAGATGTCTCTTATGCTCACCAAGGCTGCATTTATTTAATCAGAAATACAGTAAAAACAGTAATATTGGTAAATATTATTTCAATTTTAAAGAACTGTTTTCTATTTCAATATATTTTAAAACGTAATTTATTCCTGTGATGGCAAAGCTGAATTTTCAGGAGCCATAACTCCAGTCTTCAGTGTCACATGATCCTTCAGAAATACGCTGCTCAAAATACATTTCTTATTATTAGCAATGTTGAAAACAGTTGTGCATTTGTGATATTTTTTTCAGGATTCTTTGATGAATGGATAGTTTAAAAGAACAGTATTTACTTGAAATAGAAATCGTTTGTAATATGTCTTTATTATCACTTTTGATCAATTTAATGCACCCTTACTGAATAAAAGTAGTAATTTTAAAAAAATGTAAATTTTTCATGGAGATTAAATAGTGTTATTAAGAGAAAGTTACGAAGTAAATAGGATATTCAAACAGGAAAGCATAAATATGAATCTGACACTTCAATGTTAAGCATAACATCATTCATTTAATAACATTTTATGCATAAAGGATAATGTATTCACTATAATTCTAAACTTTTAAAAAAAGAACAATGTAGTGTAACACAGAGGCAAAATACAGACTGAGGGATGACAGTGGAATGAATAATGAACTTCAGTGGCACGACTAATGATAAATGTTCTGTAAAATTGCACATCAAAGCAGAAAATTAAACACTGCTCAGAAATCATTCATTCAGAATAGTTTTGAAACATTATGCTGCAGAATATCTGAATAATAATTAAACTGTAGTATCTTCTTTAGATATGGCAGTTTAATAAAATACTGGAGGTGATGAAAAGATACTCAATGTACTGGTCCAATGACCCTAAAAAGTGTGAGATCAGTGTATGCTATGATGAACAAACAGACAATGATATCACGCAAACAGAAATATAAGTCTTACCACTTGATATCATCAGTATGTCCAGTGTAGTGTCTTTGTAGTTGCTCATCCACATTATACAGCACAACCACAGATGCGATGAAGTAAACCGTTTCCCCTGTCGGGAGCAAGTACAGGTTGGATCGACAGTCACGGCCCCGGTAACCATAGCTGGGTCAAAGTCAAGAGCAAAAGCTACTGTTGATGAACTAAACTAGTAACAAACCTCAGCTATAAAGGGCTTTTTCTGTGAAAGAGGAACATTTGTACATTTTTATTTCTGGAAAAGTGCTATCTGACCAGTTGATATTTTAATTTGTTCGGCTTTAGATATTATAGATTTCTCAGTCCTGTCTACAAAGTTCTTTTCAGGTAAAGTACCAAATACATTATGGGTAAGACATGCAGAAAATATCCCACTCTAACAGACTGCAGTACTCAGTAGAGCCAGAGAGAACACCAGGGTATATGATTAGACATCGTTCATGCTTCCAAATTCAGCAAATTGGAATGTGAATATGGAATTAGGGCATCACAATGAATAATACCGTAATTTTTGAAGTCCAGGTTTCAGAATTTTAACATTATGCACAATAATCTTAGAACACATAACTCTGACCTAGATACCATACCCATCATTTAACTCATGACATTTTTACAAGCTAATTTTCTGTGTAATAATACATTAAAAGTTAATTCAATCTTACAGCAATGAGCGTTCAATACAAGAATCAATCTAAATGCAGCTCCATTTCTATTTCGCAAAGGATACACCCAGTCTAGCTTCAGTTTTTTAGGAGGCAAGTCAGCCTTTGCTTCAAGGCAGTATGTGTCCACCAGGTCTCTGGGCATGTACATGGTGATGGGTCGTCCCTTCAAATACATTCTGACATACCCTTCATCTAGAAAAAGCAACACAGACTTTTAGAGCAAGAAAATGCATGGGTCAGAGAAGGATCGCTGTGACATCTGTTGGGGTTAATGTCATCTGATTTTGATTAAAACAATGTTGAAGACAGATAAAAATTTGGGTCAGTACAATTTGTTTTAGTTACCTGTTTTACCTGTTTGTGAAATGTATCATGTTTTGCACAAACATATTCAGCAGTGCAACTGTTAACAGCACCGACAATAAGTAGAAATGTTTTCTAAGCAGCAAATCAGCAGATTAGAATGCTTTCTGAAGGATCATGTGACACTGAAGACTGGAGTAGTGATGCTGAAAACTCTTTTGATTGCTTTGTAATCACAGGAATAAATGACATTTTAAAACATATCAGAATAGTTGTTTTATATTGTAATAATATTTCACAATAATAATATTTTCACCATATTTTTTGATTAAATAAATACAGCCTTGGTAAACATAATGAGACTTATAACATTAAATAATCTCACTGGCCCCACATTTTTGAATGTTAGTATATTTTAAAATGTGATTAAATGTTAATCCAAGACTAAATGAAATGATTTAATCCCAAAAGGAGGATTGGAAGGAATTGCAACAGTGTTTAGAAGAATATATATTATGTTTTGAAAATAATTCAATAGGTCAGTGAGATTTAAAGGAAATGCTTTAATGCATTTTGTTACGTACAGTATTTGAAATACATTCAATTTAAAAGTGAAGAAAAGCAAAATCAAATTCAGCAATTTCATGGTTTGGTAAATTAGTAACAGACACAAAATGAAATCACAGATAGGCATGCATGCAAACACAAAGGAAAAGGAAAAGTACAGTTTATAAAATGCACACTTGAACAAAACAAACCTATTTAAAAGCAAAAAGACAAAAGTGTGAACATGCAGTGTAACATATATACAACAGGAAATAAAACTAACTCAAAGAGACACAGTCAAAACAAAAAGAACAAAACAGAACAAAAGACTCATAAAGACTCTTAAAACCACCTGACTACGTTTAATATTACAGCTGTTTTGATTAGTAACAGATTTGAAAATACTGGCTGGGAGATTTGATTGGACTCCTGTAAGAGGGCATTTCTAGGAGCGAGTGGACTAACTGAGAAGTACACTTCCTCAGAGGAAGGGTAAATGGGGGGACATTTTGGCTTCCGAGCCGGACCACTCTGTCAGACAAAACCTTGGCCTCTGATGGGGTGTTGGTGGACTGCAGAGGATCCGCTCCTTTTTGACGGTCGGTGCAGGTAGATCTGCACGGTTACTAGGTAAAGTGGTCAAATTGGACAGGGCAGGTGCGGGAGAGGGTGGAGAGGCAGGATGAAGTATAATCATGATCAGACATAGTCCAATAGCTTTCGATACCACCATAATAACAAGACGACAAGGCGTCCACAAGGCTAAGAAACTGCACTGCAAAATAATCTTTTTCTCAATTGGTATTTTTCTTGTTTTGCATTAACATATCCTTAAAGCAACATCAATTTACTTGAGAAGAAAATACATTTAGGAACATTTTCAGAAAATATATCTTGAAATAAATTGTTTCTTACTATTCAGGCAAATTGTTTTTTTTTTCTCCTTCTAGTTTTAAGCAAAAAAAAGATCAAGATTTAGAGACATTTATGCTTAAAATCAATGAGGAAAGAAAAATGAATTTATAAAAATACACACAAAAAATATTTAAATATCTTTTCCAAAAAAAAAAAAAAAAGACACTAATTGTTCATTTTTATTCATTCATTTTTTTAAATCTTGTTTTAAATATATTTAATTTTTTTCTGCCAACAAGCCAAAAATGCTGCTTAAGAAAAAGATTTTTGCAGTGCTGATGAGCAGGGGAGGCACATGGGAATCTGAATGTTATCCTGACTGAGGAAAACCAGGAATACTGGAAATAAACTGATAAAATGCATTCTGAAGAAGCATCACTCCAACCTCCCAAGTGATGTTTGCTTTTTTAATTTGTTTGCCTTACAAGTATTTTGTCACTATAAAACGCAGTGGGCATAGCGAGTCATTCACCGACTGTTGCATCAACATTAAAGACTACAGTTTGGGAAAAATATCTTCCACTAACTGTGAAGCACTTTACACAAATCAGCGTGACACTTAACTTCAGATTTATGATAAACATCAAATTCCAGTTCCAGAGAAAAAAACGAAAAGCTGGTTGATGCAGGGTGATAAATGCCCTTTACGGGACTGAACGAACAAATAAGTGTACGTGGAGCAAAAAGCAGCAATAAACTATTGGAATAAAAGCTTTTCAGTGTGCTGCTGTGTGACTGCAGGAGAGTGTTGGGTTCCCATGGTGCATGTGAAAAACTAGTGCCATGAGCAGTGAGCAAAACACCCAGGAGCTGTCAGAGCAGCATCACTCAAGAGTTAACAGCTTGTGTTTCAGCACCACTGCAATCAACCACAGGTTGGCATCACTCAGAAGGGTGTTACAGAGAGTGCGCATTAGTTTATTGGGAAGGGTGGCATTTCTGGAGGAAGAGTGGGAACTTCTATCACAGATGCAATTGTCTAATCAACCCAAACCCTTGTCTAATCAACCCAAACCCTTACGCAAGGCAGCTCGGTGTGTGCTGATTCTGCCATAATATGAAGCCAGAGCTGTCAAAGTCTGCTAGATCACTGTCCCATCTGGAATCACTAGAATAGCTGTACAAACTGTATAAAGGGACAGTATATGATTCTTACAGCAGAAACAACCATAGTAAAATGGAATAAGAAATCTCTTAAGACCCAATAAAATTAAAGTTTGGTGGCAAAAATTCTTAGAAATGCACTCTATTGATGTTGGTTTCATATGGTTTAAAAAAAAAACATCTATATCATTTAAAAAAAAAATGTTTACATTTAATGACTCTAAAACATCAAGTTAAAAATATTTACAGTAATAAATAAAATTAAATAAATAAAAGCAATATTTTCCTTACACTGTATGTGTGTGGGTGTATACCAGCATTAATTTAGTATAAATTAGATACTATTATAGTTTTTATGAATAAAACGCAGTGGGCATAGCGAGTCATTCACCGACTGTTGCATCAACATTAAAGACTACAGTTTGGGAAAAATATCTTCCACTAACTGTGAAGCACTTTACACAAATCAGCGTGACACTTAACTTCAGATTTATGATAAACATCAAATTCCAGTTCCAGAGAAAAAAACGAAAAGCTGGTTGATGCAGGGTGATAAATGCCCTTTACGGGACTGAACGAACAAATAAGTGTACGTGGAGCAAAAAGCAGCAATAAACTATTGGAATAAAAGCTTTTCAGTGTGCTGCTGTGTGACTGCAGGAGAGTGTTGGGTTCCCATGGTGCATGTGAAAAACTAGTGCCATGAGCAGTGAGCAAAACACCCAGGAGCTGTCAGAGCAGCATCACTCAAGAGTTAACAGCTTGTGTTTCAGCACCACTGCAATCAACCACAGGTTGGCATCACTCAGAAGGGTGTTACAGAGAGTGCGCATTAGTTTATTGGGAAGGGTGGCATTTCTGGAGGAAGAGTGGGAACTTCTATCACAGATGCAATTGTCTAATCAACCCAAACCCTTGTCTAATCAACCCAAACCCTTACGCAAGGCAGCTCGGTGTGTGCTGATTCTGCCATAATATGAAGCCAGAGCTGTCAAAGTCTGCTAGATCACTGTCCCATCTGGAATCACTAGAATAGCTGTACAAACTGTATAAAGGGACAGTATATGATTCTTACAGCAGAAACAACCATAGTAAAATGGAATAAGAAATCTCTTAAGACCCAATAAAATTAAAGTTTGGTGGCAAAAATTCTTAGAAATGCACTCTATTGATGTTGGTTTCATATGGTTTAAAAAAAAAACATCTATATCATTTAAAAAAAAAATGTTTACATTTAATGACTCTAAAACATCAAGTTAAAAATATTTACAGTAATAAATAAAATTAAATAAATAAAAGCAATATTTTCCTTACACTGTATGTGTGTGGGTGTATACCAGCATTAATTTAGTATAAATTAGATACTATTATAGTTTTTATGAATTAGTTTTCTTGAGAAGTTTCTGTTTTAATTTTAATTTTAGTTTTAACTTTATTTTGTTGTATGTATTTGTCATATATATATATTAAATGTCTGTAATAATAATAATAATTTTTAATGTTTATATTAATTTTTATTTCAGTTTTAGTTTTAGATATTTTAGTACATTTTAGTTGTTTTAATAAGTTAAACTAAATGAAAATGTTTATCTGTTTAACTATGAAAATGTTTAACTATACTAACCCTGGTGTACACATCTTTATTATGTTCAAGTTTTAATATCATATTTGTTTATAGAGTCACACAACATGACTTTTTACATCCAGCTTTAACCTTGCCTTGTCATATAAAGGTCAAATTATCTGATATTTTAAGGAATTTATTAACCTTGACTTACAGTCATGAGAGTCTACAGGGGTCCCCTCTATGATGTCATTTCCTGTTATATCAAATATGCCCCAAATACAAAAATATGTCAAAAAAAGAAAAAATATAATTTAATAGGTGACTTCATGGGGTCTTAAGAAAAATGGCTTCATACAGTATCTGACAGTTCATAAATAATGATTCTCAAATCTACCAGCTGTCTTTGCATTTTTAAGCAAGGGGTCATAATTGCCCTCAATCTGTAAATGTTGACTTCGCTCTGGCTATGGGAATCAAGTTGTGTCCACAGAGCTGCTCACGCATGGGGCAGTTGACAAACAGTGCCTACCTTTGCAGTGCGTCACACGTCGCATCCCTTAGTGAACGTACAGAGACAGAGACAATCACGTAAGATGGCAGAAAACGGCTCATGGAAAGACAGATTTCTGTTCATTAGATCCCAGCTCGCCATGTCTGGGTAATTACTCTACAAGCTCCTCCGGGATAGTCGTTTCATTCGCCAAGTGCTCTATTTAACAAATCTCCACTGCTTAATTTTGTGTACTGTATATTTAACATCTGGAATTGCTGTCTTGATGACCTCAATTAATCAGAGTTTTCGGCACAGTTAAATACAGTAACTGGGTCACATATACAGTAAGGAACATGCAAATGTCGCCTTCAGGCAGAACAGCTTGTTTTATTCCGCCTCATATGGCTGCACACACTGAACGCTCTGCTTTTACACTGACAGCAAATCAAATTTGTTCTGACATTCCCAAGAACTGCTGCTGAATTCCTTTGTATCTCTTTAAAAAAAACGAGCTGCACAGCTTCTGACCAGAACTGATGCATAATAGATAAACACAATGACTATAAATGCCTGTTGGACCTTGACAATTTCAAGCTTTTTTTCTTTTCTTTGAAAGACCTTGTTCTTTGCACTGAGAAAGTAATTAACAATTCTGCCACTTATATGCATAAACTATACTTATATAATAGTAAATATTAATTCTCATTATTTTCTACTACCAGAATGTATTTGCTTTGTGACCAAATGCATAAAAAATTCTACATTTAAACAGAAAATAAGTAAAATTAAATAAACACAAAAATGAAAAGAGGAAACATTTTTGGTAAGAGATGATGTGTTACTGACAAAAGAATAGCAGGTAATTAAAAGGTGAAATGAACTTAAACAAAGATTGTACAGTACAATATACAGTAGAACAATGCAGTGAGAGTGACCTCCATGACCCATGACTGGAGACACAAGCAGAAATCTCTAAAATCGTTTTTTTCTTGAATGAGTTTCCCTTAATTCACCACAGTTCCATTGTAACATCTGTCCACCTTCTAATTGATCTGCACTGCTGCTAAACAAATGGACAGCTGGGTGGTCAGCCATTTATTTTGAGGACATGTATTTGGCGAGAGTTAGCAGGGTCTGTACTTTCTGGAAAGTCTGGTCAAAAAGAGCAATGACAGTATAACCAATGCTTGTGACTGATCCAGTCTTGATTCAGAGACACATACTCTATCACATGGGAACAGAACACCTGACTCTTACCTGTGCTGAAAACAGGCTCCCTCTGTTTGCTGCGGGGGGTGAGAAAGGAAAAAATCATCCAAATGAGCTTGTGTAACGTGTGAGTGTATGAGTTGCTCTTATTCAGTCAATCACATGGGCATAAAAGCATATATACATATTCATTTACATACTTTTCTGTGGCTTTCTTGCCACTGGAGTTGCTCCCTGTGGAACCAGCGCGTGTGCGATTGCTTTTGGAGTCCACACCACTGTCTTTCCTGTTGTTAGGGCCAACTTGCTCGGATGAACTTGTTCTCTTCACAGTGCTATGAATGATGAAAGGTAAGATTTTAATATCATTTAATATCAAAAGGCACAACAAAACGGCTAAAACATTCCTCAATGATCAAATATTCCTCATGTGAAACATACCAAATGAGAAAATATGACATTTGCTTTTTGAATATGATACACACAATATTAGATGAATTAAAGATACTGCTTGAATTATTATTAACATTTCAGATTTTTTAAGAAGAAAAAGTTTCAAAACTTTGGTGTTGCATTTATTTGATCAAAAATACAGCAATAACAATAACACTGAGAAATATTATTACAATTTAAAACAACTGTATTCCTGTGATGCCAAAGCTGAATTTTCAGTAGTCATTACTCCAGTCTTCAGTGCCACATGATTCTTCAGAAATCATTCTAATATGCTGATTATCATGATCAAGAAATATTTCTTATTATTATCAATATTGAAATCAGTTGTGATGCTTAATATGTTTGTGGAAAGTAACCATACTTTTTTTCAGAATCATTTGATGAATAAAAAGTTCAAAATAACAAAACACACATTTAAAATAGAATGTGTAACATTAGAAATGCCTTTACTGTCACTTTTAAACAATGTAATGTGTTTTGGAATAAAAGTATTAATTTCCTTTAAATCAAAACATTAAAACTGCAGTATGTATGTACATATATATAGCTTAACAGAATTGAGTGACAAAACGTTTGCGTATTTGTGTTAGCTTGCAATATTGTATCTGTCTCCAAATATAAGTTAACTTTCATGAATTTTCCTACTATAGTCTGATCCTCAAACAGGAAGCATAAATGTAAACATTCACACAGAAAAAAAGGAAATGGCAATGTAGAGATAATACTGGTGAAAGCCAATTATAACAGACACTCAGCCTTCCCCAAAGAGACACAGAAAAAACACATACATGACAAACAACCATTACATATTCCAGAAGAAATGTGTTTTATGTGTTTTTTCTTCTCTGAGACATGTTCATGACCTGATTTGATGTGCCTTTGTGCACTAGAAAGGGGTGAATTGAAAGTGGGTGCCCTTTAAAACTTGTCAACAAAAGAAAAGACCCCATCAGCAGTCCACTGGTTGCCAGGCTCAAGTCTAATCCAGACTGCAGGGCTAAAGTTAATTTGGCCCAGCCACTGTCGGATGGTGTTATCCCGTGTTAAACAGGCTGCAGGATCTTCATGCTTTGTGAGGCTTTTTGTCAATAATAGCACTTCAGGCATACAAGCAAGTGGGTATAGAGTTAGTCTATAGACTGCACAGGGCTCTCACTTCAAGGCATGATGGGAAAAGATGCTTTACAGGCTGCAATGAAAGAGTGCCTGAAGAGAAGCTAAAAAAAAAAAAAAATGTCCAAACCAAAGAGTGCCCAGTTTCACAAGAAACAAAGCAAAGCTTATCTACTTCCTAAACAGCCTCCACAGAATATGGTCGAACCACAGACTCTGTTTGCTACGGTTTAAAGCAGTTCTTGAATAATGGTTGAAAAACAAACCCTTAAAGCATTTTTTATTACAAAAATATCAGTAGCCCACATCACTTTTTAGAAGATTGCAGATCCTGCATGTAGAAAAACTCTCACCTGTAAGGTGGCCTTAGAAGAAACCTGGGCAGATGGGACAGACTAGAATACGTAACAGATAGGAAGAAGGGAAGGGGACAGGGAGATCTCACAGGATGACAAATATATGTGACAGACAGTTGACACTCACAAACAAAGACACTTAGGGGAAAGCAGGGGTCTTCAGCTGGGTTTGTGTCTTATAATCATAAACCTCTGTTTATTCATTCATTCGTCTGCATGATTTGGCCATTTATTAAACAAAGACACATTGGTGCTGCGCAACTGGAAGGTTCATGAGAGCGACTGTGTTTTCTCATTGCAATTTTGATTTTCATAGTGACAAGAAAATAGAACTGTAGCAGCATTTTAACCTATTGAATATAATTTCATCAGTATCGGTTTATGGATTCTAGAAAGAAAAATGATCTCATTATTATTCATGACTTCCTGGTGTCATTCTAAAAACATTACATTGAAGAAAAAGAATGTTGTTTCTGAAAAATATGGTATAAAGTCACATTGTGAGACACACCCTTCAAACGTTTTGGGTCAGTAAGATTTTTTTTTAACAAAAACATTACAATCTTAACGACCCCAAACCTTAAACAGTAGTGTGTAAAGATGCAATTATGAGGAATAAATTGTCAATTGTGAGAAATTAAGTTATTACAGGAAATTACGTTGCAATTGTGAAATATGAAACTAATTCAAAAGGCTTGTTCTCTGTCATCTAAAACCAAGGCGTACTGCATTGCTTCCTGCGTCACAGTTGACTCACTTAAGAACCTGTGTCTTTCAGGTTTAGCATTTGTTATCATAAACTGATAAAGATGTGAGCTGACCTTTATTAGACAAAACGTGCACTGTTATCTTGTGTATTTTCATGCGCTGGATGGATATCTATTATAGAGAATGATTTGAACAATTTCATCTTTAATTATAAAAATGAAAAGTACTAAGATTTCAGTCAATTATGGATTAAGGAATACACTAGACGACCTTTAAAATCTGAATTGATTTTTACACTAAGCATCATACACTAAACGACGGAGGGTCACACACTAACACACTTTCAAGTCGTGAATTGTTTCGTACACAACAAACTCACACAAAAATATATGCCGTGTTGCTAAGAGACACATGACAAATGCAAACATTTATATTGTCAAATCAGCTCCAAATTTTTGTTTTCAAAGTCTGAAGCTAAAAATGTGTTGTCTGTGCCCATCATACAGTATGCAATTTTTTTGTGGAGTCAGACTTTAGTCTCTTACCTTTTGGTTGCTGGTGAGTTGTTGTCCTTCTTGGAGCCGGAGGGGGATGGCAGTGTGCCGCCCTTCTTAGGCAGGACAGTACCATTGTTGACCGTGGATCTCAGGGGCAGAGCTGCAATCATTGGTCTAGCTGAAAGATGGAAGGACACGTAGGCAGAATTACACACAGCACTGCAGTCAGGCATTTATTATCTGTTGTTTCCATTCTTTTTGTAAACTAGCTCCACTATATGTCAAGCTTTTAACAGTTAACTTTACATTCTCAAAGGCCCCATGAAATCACTTGACAAGCACAGCTTTTTTTTTCCTGTTTTGATTTATTTCCTATTGAAATTGAAGTTTGGGTGGTAAATATAGAATGGACTCATGCCTTTTGTTCTAAATGGCCAAAAAGTGTTTGTTACGCCATAGCCATGAACAATCATTTGATACTTGTTAGTTAGTTAGTTAGTTAGTTAGTTAGTTGAATGTGGGTTTAGGGGAGATATACTGTAATTCTAGAGATCATCTGACTGGACAAAAATCTGTGTAGTGCAGGATGAGTCATCAATACTCTTGCGCCATTGTCAAAAAAGAGAAATATACTGAATTTTAAATGCATATAAAAGTGAATTTTGTTTATGGTATATTAAAATATAGATGAACTCAAAGCTAACACACATGGACAAAAGCCACAAAACTCTCACTTAAATTTTATATACACTATCATTCAAAAGTTTGGGGTTAGTCATTTTTTTTGACTCTGCTGATTTGGTGTTGAAGAAACATTTCTCATTATTATCATGTTGTGCTGCTTAATATTTTTGTTGAACCGGGAAACATTTTTTAAGATTCTTTGATGAATAGAAAGTTCAAAAGAACAGCATTTATTTGAAATAGAAATCTTCTGTAACATTATACATTCATTTACTGTTACTTTTGATCAATTTAATGCATCCAGATGCTGAAGAAAACTATTAATTTCTTTAAAAAAAATAAAATAAACTTCACTGACCCCCAAACTATAACAGTGGTGTATATACTTAATGCATCACACTTCCACTCAATTTAGGAAGAACTGGAACAGAGCAGTGACCACAGAATTCCAGAATAGATTTTTCTTGCTTCTACAGACTGTCCTGCAATAGGTTGAGCCACGAATGGACTCCATTAAAATGCAATTGTGGTTCACAGAAGTCTAGGTTGGTGAATATCCCTTTGTGCAATTCAAGTACTTAATAGTGCATCCACACCTGCAGTCTAACTGCTGATGGCAAAGATTTTTGAGAGCCTTTATTTACATTACCCTATGCGTCTGCATTATTAAATATTCATCACAGCAGAGCTGCTTGAATGTGTTATGAATGTGTAGGCAGTGGGACAAAAATACAGTAGAAAAAATAAAAGAAAGAATGAAGCAAAAGTGCAAGAGAGAAATAGCAAAGGATTTTTTGTTGTTTCAAAGAGATCAGCCTGCACAGAGCGTCAAGGATTAAGCAGAAGGAAAGCATGACTCATCTTACACACACTTCAAACAGGCAGAGGAATGGATGAAGTGAACATGAGCTACCCGAAGTACACCGAAAATAAACATTTCTTTATTGGTTTGAGGAGTCTTGGACCCCAGGTTGACATTTGGTAGCACAAATTCATGCAGTCTGGCTAATTAGTGTCTGACATCAAAGCAGCAAGTGTGTTTCAAACCTTTGAGACGGTAAAGAAATGTGACTCTAATTATCCACTTTATCCTGCAGTTCAAAGGATTATGTGGATTTAGTAAAGCTTTGTAAAAACAATCACCAAAAAATCAAGATATTTAAGGTGACAAGCCACTTTCCAAGTCTGTTAGACTAAAGTTAACCTCATTTTTGAGGTTTTTCATTGTCTCTCATTTTTGAGAGATATTACAATATGGATGTGGTAGCTTGTCAGTCTAGCATTAAATGTAATTAGGAACAGAGTGTTTGTTAAGCACACTAACAAGCATCTTATAATGTTAATCTCACTAAACTCAAAACAACTAGTCATATGTGAGACAGGACTATATGTCACACATGCTGGGGTGAAATTAGGGATGCACAACACATAAATGATCATAAGAGTATCAGCCAATATTTGTGTGGGTCTTTTTTTAAATGATCTGTCTGATTAGGTTGACGTTAAAAGAAATAAGTTCCACTCTTTTCCTCAGCTAAGTAAAAAAATAATAAAAATAAATTTACATTTTACTGTACATTATTTATGATGATTTTATCAATGATTTCACTTGTGTGAAAGTTAGTTCATTTACTCAAATTTACTCACCCTCATGTTGTTCCAAGCCTGTCTGACTTTTCTGCGAAACACAAAAGAAGATATTCTGAAGAATGATGGTAACCAAACAGTGTCAGTTCCCACTGAATTTTATTGTATTTTTTGTCCATTCAATGAAGTCAATGGGAATCAAAACTGTTTAGTTAACAACATTCTTTAAAAAAATCTTCTTTAATGTTCTATAGAAGAAAGAAATTGAAGTTTTGAAACAACATGAGGGTAAATGATGACAGATATTTTTACGGTGGACTATCCCTTTAAATTAACTTTAGTGTGAATGTTGTCTATAAAAAAGACTTAAATTATAATATTTAATTGTAAATTATAATCACCGTATTGGTTATCAGTCATAAAAATTAATATGTTAATTAAAATTAAAGTAATAAATAATTAATAGTTTTATTTTAAGTAATTGGAAAAAGAATTTAGAATAACATTAAGCATAATAAATAAGATCAGATTAATTAATAATCTCTAAATTAAACCCGCATTAACCTCTCTATGAACTTCTGTTACATAACTCATGATTTATGCAAATGATAATGAACTTTTAATAACAAACGGCGTCTCTAAAATACCTGCATGTATATAACATCATGTAAATAAACATTGGGTTGAAAATTATCGTATCCATTTTGCATATTAATAAACACTCATTATATCAACATGCTTACGCTACAAGCAAATACCAAATCTGATTAACATTTAAAATGGAACCTACTGATCATGGATTATAAATATCAGCAAACATTTCTATATCAGTGCATCACTAAGTGAAATATAACTCATATAAAACTCAGTCCTCAGTGTTCATGCAATTCTGATGTCAGTTCCAGTGATGTGACTAAACTGTGCTCTTTGTATTAGTGTGTAACTCCTGATAAGTGAGACACGAGCCCCACTGCCTACCTGGCTTCCCAAAACTGCTGTCAGAGGAGGGAGAGTCTCTCCTCACTGCTCCTTCTAAACATACTCACAGTATGAGAGAACAGTTGAGGGAAGGGAATAGGAGGATAGGAAAGTAGAGAAGAAAGGAAATGAATAGCAATTGGGGTGGAACGGTTCAACTTACTCTCGGTTCGGTTTGTATCACGGTTTTGGGTCACGGTTTCGGTATGGTTCATTATGTGCTATGTTTAGGCAAAAACTATACTGTCAAATAAAAATAAAGAAAATAAGAATAATCTATTTAACTACAAGCAACAGCACAAATAAATACAAGTAAAGATACAAATAAAATCAACAGTGATTTTCAGTTTTTTTTAGGTAGGTCTAACATTAGTTCCCTTTCATGGGAACTTCGAACTGCGTCCTCTAGGGGTCAAAATGGGTTACATACGTAACCTGGAGATGTTTTCAGGTACAGAAATTGAATAAAGTAATGAAATGTAAAACAGCATTGCATATTTCACTGTATAAATTAAAGATTAATCTTTATTAAAGTTACAAAAGCTATTCAATCGCAGTGAGTGATTTCTTTGTTGTTGCTGTTTGATTAATATTAAGAAAGTGCTGTGTTTTCTTTAAGAGAAAGACACTTGCGATACTTACCAAGACGGGCATTTTGACATAATTTTGTGTGAATTTGTCCATTTAAACACAATACTTCAGAGAGAGCTTAATATTTGCACGGGTTCTGAGGCGCGGGTTTGCATGCTTCGGATGAGCGCACGCACAAATCTTCTCAATGCGTGCGCAAAGTAA